ACAAACGCTGTACACAGTAGTCTGATGTAGTCTGTATATAGACTAACTAACCGGATTCACTTCAATTTAAATGGACCCTATACCAAACAAGGACAAATCGCTGGAGTCGACGAAACATCGCACGCCGCCGCGGTGAGGACCTCCAAGCAGCTCGAACCGCTGGAAGCTCTCCTCCGCACGCGCCCGGACGGCAGCTTGGGCATCTTGGCCTCCGGCCTCTCCGCGGCTGACGTGCTGCGACTTGGCAAAGCGAGTGGACCAGGGCACGTTCGCGTCACTCCCGGTGGCTTTGACCAGGCTGGAAGCTTGCACACTCCAAGTATATTTCTAGGGTTTTCTAGGGTGGTGTTCACCAGCGCTGGAGCTTCCACACCTCAATTACAAACCCGACTCGACTATTCCCAGACCTTCCGAAAACAAGGCTTCTTGGAGGACCCTAAAGAGTAAATCCCAAAGTGCCCAGGATGCTTCATCGCCTCTTGTTGGAGGGCTGTCACCCGTGTCAGATTGATGGAATTGGCGGACAGCAGGGCGGCTGTCAGTATCTCTTGTGGGACCGGTTTTGGAATCAGCGTCCAAGCTCAAAGGTATGCAACATTGGATGGTGGACGGGACTTTTAAGGCTCACATTCGCCAGACTTGGGTCAGAACTGGTATTGGATGATCGCCCAAACAGCTCACTACGTGCAGACAAGAAGCTTGGTCATGTCGAAAGAACCCTCCGCTAGTTGTTTGGTCCGACTTCTTCCTGAAGCCTTTCAACCGCCTTTCAACCCATCTTCTGGTCCCGTAAACACCAAAAGTGGGTACCCCAAAGCGACCCTTACTGTAGTGAGTTTGGCCCACCGCCATCTTGAGCCAATGTTTATTGCACTCACCACCATTCTGAAGTCGTTCCTTTGCCTCAACCCCTATAATTTCACCCATCCCTCATCCAATGGTCCTATTGCCAATTGACTTCCAAAACTTTGCTCCTGTTGGCTCACTGTTGGCTCAGTCTTTGGCAGTTGACCCATTCAGTGAGACTCATTGGATAGGACTTTTGATGCTCACCCATGGCGTCCTTCTCAATTCTCAACCAATTCATCCTCTTTCATGTCTTCAGCCATCTTCAGCCATCTTCAGCCTCCTCCTCCTCCTCCTCCTCACCCAGCTCTCCTTCTCCACGTCTTGGGAGCATCTCAATGCTCCCTCGACCCATCTCATCATAAAATATCACGCCTCTTCACCTGGGCCCAGATCCTCCAAATTCAGAATCCCAACACCCCTCTCAACAAATCCTTTACCAAAAGACCCATGCGCTCGACATGAATTGTTTCAAGCTCCCAAAGGGGGTACCCCCCATGGTTTGTTGCTTGGCAATCCCGCGAGCAACATTGGTCGGGGGCAACAAAAAGCAACAACTTCACCACAGGCCTCTCTTGCCCATTCACCAATGTAGTCATCCAAAAAAAGAACTCTTCAGGCTTCAGGTCTCTTCCTTCCCTCGATCTTCTTCCGGAATCGTCAATCCTCACAGATCTGCGTGTCTCACCATGTTCGATCCATAAGTCTTTCAAACCATCTACTACACCACCACCTCATCTCAGCTTCGACAAATGCCTCTCATGCACAGCTTGGTCCTGTTTTCGTGTTTATGCTCGGATGACATGCCGCAAGCCCATGGCTCATGCTCCTCATTCTCCACATGCTTGCAATCCCTCTGACATGGTGCCCCATTATGCTCTTGATATGGCAGGTGATGGTATCCCACCTGCACAATGGTAGAACACATGGAGAAGCTTCCATTTCGATCAAGAGTTTATCAATGTTTTGTTACACATTCAATGACCAACGTTAGATTGAAACTAGCCTTGACAGTCGACCTCGCTTGTGCTGGTGCAGTTTGTGCGCAGCAGGTGTTGCAGGAGAGAAACATGAAACACCATAAGAAACTACAGCGCTTGAGAATCTTACGCTATGTTCGTCGTGCAACGCGCGAAAGTGCAGGGAACTATATAATTAGTTGAAGTGTGCGCGTGCTTGTCGGAGTTGTGCCATCCAAGCAGCATTTGTTTACCCTTGGATGCAGTCCACCTTGTAAGGCTAGCAGAGCTGACGGAAGAGCCGCTTTGGCAATGAAGTTCGGCGGGGCGGCTTTCTTGAAAGCATGGTCCACGGCCGACACAGACACGAGTGGCCATGGTGGCAGTTGCTGGGTGAGTTGCCTCAAGCTATTCATGATCAGGACACTACTAGACTTGGACCTTAATGGCGCGAGGGTTGCCCGTTTCAATTTGTCAAGCGCCCATAGGTCTGCGAACCCCCTGAGCGATGGTGAAGTGAGGTTGTTGGAAATTCGGCCGGATGCCATGGCAGCATATCCCAAAGTTGCAGCACTTCACAAGCAGGCGCCTGGTACTGTAATGTGGTGTCTTTTGTCGGTGACAAATCCCTGTACAGTGCTTGTTTAGACAGCATTTCTTCGTTGTTGTGATACTGTTACTGTATTGTCGGTGCCAGCGCGTCATAACACTGATGCTGGCAGGCGTTTTTTAACGGCGGTTTGTTGTGCGTTGGTGGTTTCGTCCTTGCTTTCGCCGACATCCACCCTTTGGCAATACAATCGGATGTGCTGGTTTGAATTCAGCAAGAAGCAATCTCACATTGCATCAAGGTTCACATTATGAATTATATAAAAATATATAGTTATATTTACATCATAATATATAATTCTAGTTAATCACCATCAGATAAATTGGTCATATATAGAGATATGTTATATATATATACCAAGGGGATTGGATAAGGTAGTGGTGATGAGTGGTTGTACTTCGCTCATCACCAGACCACCCCCCACCCCCCCCCCACCGTTTGGTCCAGGAATTCCAAAGAGATTGCAAGGTACAAAGGGGCCCCTGATCCATTCACTCGTACGGCAAGGGCGCGGAACTCCACAGATCGATGGTTTGGGGAATACGTTTTGGGCCTGGATAACAGCACGCTGTCCATGAACTGGATGATGCAGGTGACCAGTTTGCCCCAGATCCGCGGCTACCTGGATGGCCCAAAGCGCTATCCTTTTCCCAAGGGCGCTGAAGGCCTGCCCGGTGCTCGTCCATCGGTTCCAGCGCAGCCGCCCCCGCGTGGTTGTGGGTCGGTGCCAAGGAAGGAGAATCGTAGGAAGGTGCTTGGTAGGGTTGTAGTATGTCGTAGTAGTGGTTGAAGTCTTGAGGTAGCTTAATCACGTTATCGCAGATGTGATTCATCTAGTACGCGAGTTCTCCAAGGTTTACGCGATTGGCTTGCGTGAATGTTGGGCTGATCTTGACTGCACCAATCCTCAAACATGTGCCAAGCTCCGTGTCCTTCGGGGGGCGCCCATCTTCAAAAACCATGATGGTTTTGGGGAGTGCATTTGCCCAACTCTAATATGTCGCTGCAGCTTAGCAAGGGTACTGCTGAAGGAATTGTTTCTTGACACACGAGCAAACGATTCGCCACCCAGACCCAGGGTGTTCGTGGGTGCGCTAGGCGAAATGTACTTGCAGAACGTCAACACTGTCCTGGGCAGATGAGGTTCACACCCAGAAAACATGATGTGGGTAGATCTCGGGAACCCACCTAACCAGTGGGTTGGAGATCTATTTGTCTCCTCTCTTTCCTGTTATGAGGAGTCGGAGTGCTGGCGGGTAAATCTGACAACTACTTATCCAGAGCGGGGCCACTTCGTTGTATAAACACGGTGGCCCATGCCCTGGATAGTTCTTTGTTTTTCAAGCACCTGCTATTGAGTATGTCCGAAAATTAGGGATTGCCAGAGGCTCCCTGATATGTCCAACTTAGGTATGATGACCTCATATTCATTCAGCTTCCTTGGTGGATGCTTACTGCTACAGCGGAATTGTTGGACTTGGGAGGGTTCTGAATGCGGGGTCATCCGTATTTCCGCGATTAATGGATGGCCTGGACAATTTCAGGCAAAGACTCTTGCAAACCATTGCAAGCCTCGTTGTTTGCGTGTGTGAACATCCTCATGGTTTGTAGTTGTTTGAGGGAACTGCTCCCCCAGTTTACGAGACTCTCTGCCAGCAAGAGTCAGAGTGTAGAAAAGGGTGTTGCGCAGTCTGAAGTCATCACAGCAGGGGCCTTGAATGGCCTTCCACTGCTTAGAGCTTTAATGACACAGCTTGGATTTGGATGGTTATTCTCATCCGGCGGTTGGGGGTCCAGCCAACTCTTCACTTGCCGGTGTGTTCAAATTGAGGAGGCAAACAGATTTGTCATTTGTTTGAACTTGGTGGATCTTCAGCTTCATGTACAGCCACGATGGGCCCGATCTCTATACATAGTGACCACAGGTCGACATATTTTGGGATTTCTAAAGCACCTGGAGCTTCTAAACAGTTACGGCATTTCCAGTAGTCACATGTAGCCACTATGCAAACGGCACACACAGCTTCAGACACATGCACACTTTCGACAGTTTATGACACTATTTGTGATATTAGTTGCATCTCCCAGAGAGGTGATCGAATCTTGCAATCACTATATACTATAAGTCATCACATGAGTTAGCCTTCTTGTGCATCTAACATGCCCAGTTGGAGGCCATCGCTACTAGGTTGGAGGCCATCGCTACATGCGCCGCGGTATATTCCTGGTTTCATCCGTATGGCACCTCATCGATCGGCCTGGCTCCCCCACGTCGCTGACCGCGCCCGCTGAGTATCACAGTCCACACACTTTTCATGCTAAGTCCGCTGGCACGCCGCCACCAACACCACGCCGCAAGCAACAAATAGAGCGACCTTTTTCATGCTCCGGAGACCAGGACACGTTTGGAAAACCGAACGGTCAATCTCTAAAGACGTTGCGTTGGCTACCTAGTATGACCTAGTATGTACTAGAAGGTTTCATTTCGAGGTATCCCTTGTCAGGACGTGCTTGCATGTTCCACATTAGATCTGACCAACGGTGAACTGACCAACGGTGATGGATCAGTTTGCTTGCGTGCCAAGGTGAAGTACGGGAAGCCCGCCTCCAACCTCTTCGTCGGCTTAGCCAACAGCGCCCAGGGCATTTTGCCTGAGCCCCGGCTTTCATGCGCATGCTGCGACCGTCGACCGCTGTCGCCATCGATCGCGGAATTTGGGGGTGGGGGCTGCAACCGGGAAGACCACAGATCCTGAAATGGAAGGCTGTATCACAACTGCATCAGACATGAGGTCACTGTTTAGATCTAGCTACTTGGTCACGAAGCGCATTCTGGGTTTGAGGGTCTGGGCAAACCCAAAAGCGGAGCTGTGGCGCAACGGAGCAAACATGCAGCGTGTTTTTTTAACAATATTTTGTGTTTCTACCAATGGATCTCCGGTTTCAAATTGCCAAAAGTAGGTGGGTCGTGGTAGGTCTCAGTTCGGTCGTTGCGGATCCAGTTCGTCTCAGACAAAACCCTTGGGGTGAACTACGAATTGATTCACTGCATGGGTGTATATGTTAAGTCCGAGTGACACCCGATCGCCCCTGGCTGGATGGAACGGTCGAGTCCTGAATTTTTCAGGGGGGGTCGAATCGGTCGAAGAGGTCGGGTCTCCCGTCTCTACGGTCGAACACACCCCACGTGGTTCGCCAACTGCTCCATCCGGATTTCTGCTCCAACCATCAACCATCGACCGTTTTTGGGGTCTCATAAACTTCAAAACCTGTGGTGAGTCCACGGTGTTCACTTCAACGAACGCCCAAGAAGTACGCCTGGGGAGTGTTTCCATGGCCCATCAGTGGCCCACCGTGATAGAGCAATTCTTTGATAGAGCAAGATCACCTTCCAAACCAAGCGATTTTGGTTGCTTTGGCAATGCGCACAGCCTGATGACGGCCGATCATGAGACTGTGCGTTGAATGGGATTGGTCTTCGCCAGGTAAAAGAAGACACAATATATAGATTTACATAGATTTACATAAGTACCTGCTACACCAGAAACGTGGAAATTTGCGGAGCATTGCAGAATTCATACCAATTTGGGAGGAGACATAGTCTTATAGAGTGCACAAGGGTTACCCGTACATGGGGCATAACTACCCGTACGCATTTGTAAGTTGCAACACATGTTGAGCTTTGCGGCGGGGATTCCACGCACAGAACAATAATATTTGACTGCATTTTTTGCACTATCCATTTGGGGCTTTCAAAGGCGTTCAAACCTGAACAAATCGTGCTTGACCTTACAAAAAGGCAACCTTTAACCCGTACTCCATACCCGTTCAAATATATGTTCAAATCCGTGTGTACCTGACGGCATTCGAAAGGCGTTCAAAAGCCGTGCACAAACCGTTCGCAAATTGTGCGGAAGGTCTAACATGTTGTCTTTTGTGGGGAGGTTGGAGCCTACCAGGAAGTGATTTAGCTGGACGGTCGTAGCGTAAATGTTTTGACCAAATGCCCAAAAAACACCTGAGCATCCTGAGCTTGAACAGGCAGTGCTGCAAAAAAATCCATGCTGCTGTGTAAATTGCTGTTCGGATGTGTAAATCCTTACGAACAACGCAAATTCAATTAACTCCAGATTGCAAGAATTGTTTTCAGGTTTTATGGGTAGCAGGTGTGTATATATATATATATATGCTTATATGACTTATGTGGGTATATATACTGTATATGCACATGTTGCATGTGTATCAAAACGCTGCAAATAAGGCTAATTTTATGTTCAGACTGCCAAATCGCTTTTGAACTGGGACGAATGACGAAACACTGTAGTGCTATGTAGCGCTTGAAGTATCCAAAGGCGCTGCCTGGATGTTGAAGCTTAGAGAAGTGACTGCTTTAGACCTCAGGTGTCGGAGTTCCTGGCAAAGGTAACGCGTTTGTCTGTCTATGTGAAATTCTCAACTGACAATCAACTTAATGCCGGAGTTTGATAAGAAGCAGAGTGACATCTCGATGTGCTCTTTTTTGGACCGATGGTCGGTCATTGAAGCAACTCCCTGGGCTGGGCAACGTGCTGATCACGTGCAGCCAGGTCAATGCTGATCATGTGCCCTGGTGTGGAGGGGAGTGCTTGGGGGGTAGAGCCAATGGCGGCTGTGCAGCCGCACACGGTCTAAGAACACGAGCCTTGTTGATGGTTAGACCCAAACATCCTTCAGGAAACTATAGAAGTCTGCACCAACTATTAATATGTGTTTGCTCGGGGTTTGGGGTAGGTTAGGTTTGGGCATGGTTGCCTGGCTGTTGGCAAGATTGATTTCTACTTTGCTAGCACCTTTCATCACTTGTGTTTGCTTCTGCAAAAAGGTTCATCCAGAGGTTCTACTTAGTCACCAACTCACATCATCATGGACACTGTGATGCACCAATCCAACTCCAACCAAACCCTACCTCAACCCTCAGACCAACCCACCATCTAACCACCTCTGAACTAAGCGACCCACCATAATGCACCCAACCAAGCAAACCTCTAAACCTCCAGCAGCCTTGCCTCTCTTGGCCTCTCTTGGTCTCTCTTGGCGAGGTACCCCATCGGTTGGATCGGCGACAAGACCAATCGCTGCTTGGAGAGACCTCCGGAGACTGCGCTGGTGCTGAAAGAAAGAGACTCCGGTCTGCGCCCGTTTTCTGGACGGTTCACCGGAGGCCCGGCAACGTCCGGCAAGGACTGTTCATCTCAAGTCAGTGAAACCACCTCAAGTTAGTGAAAACGTTCACCGTTACCATATTGGTTAGATCTTGAGGTTTGTTTGGAGGCGAAAAATAGAGGAGACGTGACTAGCAGATGCCTCAGGCCTTCAACTGAGTGCCATTTGGTGGGGAAAGTCAGACCTGGCAATCCCGGGGTGCTGGCCCTCGTTGAAAAATCACTGAAGGAGAAAATCCTGCCCCACCTGGATCTGCCAAAACAGTTGCATGATGTTGTATTCCTGTAGGTCATTATTCCCCATTTTAGGTACAGGGTTCCAGAATTCTTGAACTTTTAGGAACAGCCGGTTGAAGTGTAGGGAAACTTATGTACTTTGCCCATTCGCTTTATAGACAGGTTTCTTTGTCCATCTTCTACTCACCAAGTGGTCACCAGGGTGATCTTGAGTGGAATGGCCTTCTCAGGCTATTTCTTGCTCCGCGGCAACTTGCTGGTCGCTGTACTCTCAGGTGCGCGGTCCAGAAATCACTAGCCGGAATTCCTGAGATTGGTGCGAAGTAAATGAGTCATGAACAGAATCTATGGTTCAGGAAAACCTATTGGGGGAGTGTCAGTGATGGCCCAATCCTTTACAAGCGAACCTCACCAGGGCGCACCAGGGGCTTTTGGTCTAAGCCTCGAACCTCGTATACTGTGTACAAATATTGTACAATCCGTTTTCATCATTGAACGTCTCAAAGATTACAAGAGCGTATGTAGCCACAAGATCGGGATTGTTCTGGTCAAACGGTGCGTTTGTAGGAACGAAACGAAGCTAGAATCGCCATGCGACAGTTCAGCTCACAAGAATTAGATTGGTGTTTTGCATTGTTGCGACCTTCCCCGTAGATCTTCAGTGTGGCAAATCGTGATATCCAATGGGTCAAATTCCCATCTCAGCATCCGTTAGGCTTTTCAACCTGCCCGCAGGTTGATGCACCGGGCATGACTGGGACCTGCAAAAAACAGGTCAAAAGACTTTTGGCCAAACATTTTTGGGACCTGGATTTTGTTCTACTTAGGGCTTATGGTGTGGCCCAATACCAGTAACTTCAGTATTTAGTATATTTTAGTATATTTTATATTACCCGAGTTCTACTGGCTTTTTTCACGGAACCCACTGGACAGTTTGGCGACATCGTTGTCAGCCGTGAGGCCTAGCCATGCTGGCCGCGGTGTACACCTCGAACGTGGTCCTGCTCTTCACCGGAATCTGCATCTTCACATGGCTCCCTGGTGGGAAAGCCGTGTGTGAATATGAGGGCCTGGCAAGTACGCAATCAGATGAACACGAACAGATGACGCTGTTCACAGCAAAACATTGGTTAAAAAGCAGAACAAACAGATATGAATGAAACACATATCAAAAACATGAACATCGACCAGTCGGAAGAGGAAAGCGGACCTTTAACCGCGGAGTCGATGACGGACTGGACGTTTGAGTCGTCGCGCGTCGCAGGTCTGCAAAAGGGAAAGCATTTAGGCGGTTGTCCAATGATGTTAAAGCTAAACTGAACCAAACACGGGTGAATCTTCAGACGTTTTGAAGAACATGGTCCTAATAGGAGGGCATACGTGGGATATTAACCCAAGGTTCATTCACTTCTCAGTCATGGAACGTAACTTCTCGCAGCGGAATGTGCAGATTGGTGGTGGAGAATTAATGGAGAATCCATGTTGGGCCGCCAAGCTTGGATCCTGGGTTCTGCGAGTATCAATGTCAGCCACTGAGCTTGCATAGACCTGGTCGTAAGTATACGATGAATCAACCCTCGGGTTCATGATCCATCTAGAGACCCGACGGCATCCGCACCTGGGGGATCATGCATCCGGACCTTGGCATCCCAGCAAATCCGAACGAGACCTTAGGTATCAACAAACCATGTCCTCCACCATCTACGCCTGCTTGGCCGACAATGTGGTGGGCGAGCGACGTACCCGCGCGGGGGTGACTGGGCCGAAGCAGTGCCAGGGGTTCATTGGGAGTTGGGAAAGCCAGGCTTGGCATTACTTCCCTCTCACATCCAAGGGGCTTGAAAAAGGGTTCGTGAGCCGTGCGACTGCAACATATTGCAAAAGTAGGTACATGTGACATGTGGATGACATGTGGTCCACATGACGTCCCTCCCACCTCCTCTCGCTCCAACCTGGGGTGTGCCTTTGCGAGATTTTGCGAGGGTAGAGTGTTTGACATGTCCAACATTGTCCAACAGATCTTAGTGTGGAACTTCGCCGCCCCCAGTCAGCCTAGGTGAACTACAAGACCTTCTCCGTCAGCTTCTGAGAGAACGCTGAATCTCGATGATGTCGATCGGACGGTAACGGACGTATGTTTGTTTCTTGTTCGCAGCCTTGAATTGAAAAACCAGGAAGCTTTCCCAGTGAACGATGTTCTTCTTGGCCTGCCCAATGGCTTGGCACCAACCATCACCAACCCATTTGTCGCTGTTCAACTACCGAGGCGCCTGAGGGACCGAGGAACCTGAGCACCCCAAGATACAGGAGACGAGAAAGCGGAGATGAACTGCTCCCGGAAGCATTGAATCCATATTGAATCTATTAAATACATCTAAATATATCTAAATACAAAACCCTAAGAAAGATTTCCTGCGGCCAGAAACAGCGGTGATTGTCGATGGTCCAGGTGCATCTGTCTACAGCCCCTTCAGAATTTGGGACCGTCGCCTTGTTCTGTCCTTCTTCAGAATCTGACGGCAGAACAAGCGAACGAAACCCTTTGAACAAGGAGCAACTCTGTACTGGACTCAACAATACTGATCTCACGGCAGTGAAGCCACTCTATTAGAATATGTTGCTCATGAATCAAGGAGCAACTCTTCCACTTCATGCAACCATATGCATCCAGAATCCATATGCTGCACCGGCACCGGGCATCTTCGGCGCGGCGCCGACTCGCTGAGGCCTTGGCGATGTCCTTTGGCCCGGCCATCCAGCTGTGTGTGCGGGTGCCAAATTGGGGAAGGGTGATGGACGTGGTTCAAAGCAAACACCGTTTGTGTTGAATCCCCGAAAAAGCTGCAGATTGGTTGTTCTACTCGAATGTCAGGATTGTGTTTCGGGATCTCCGGCTTCAGCAGTTCTCTCCTTTCAATCTTGAAGCATGGCAATTTGCGGAAGAAATCCTCCACGAAGGGTGCAGTTCCTGTTTGAAGGGATTTTGTGCGATGCTTTAGGTTGGCTTTTGGTGATTTGAGGTGATTTGAATGCCTAATTACAGTGCTTTTGGAGTACGATTTGCCAGAGATATGCATATAATGAAAGCTTCCAAAACGAACGAGTCCTGTTATTTTAGTAACATGTGAAGTCAAATGGTGTCATGGATCAATAATCTACATAAGCTTATATATCATGTACACAAAGTGAGGAAAGAAGGGGCTGTGTTTGGAGCAACTTTGATTGTGTTGGCAACTTTGATACTAATGGCCAAATCTGAATTCTGTGCAATGGATCACTGTGATGCAATATATTCAGTTCAAAGGGATCCCACGCCTCATTGACATCTCCCAATGGACCTGATGCCAAAAACAAGAGAACCTGCCCAATTCTGTTTTCTGTTCAGCTTGGTGCTTTCCATTTCTCCCTGTTTGACCTCTGAAGTACTGCAAAGTTCTTTGTCAAACATAAGATTGTTCCGGACAAAATCTTTCACCACATTTTAGTTGAGGGGTCCACTCATGCAACCGAAGGGATCATCCACAAGCAAGAACGAAGACAACACCACAAGTCTGGCTGAACGAGCTGTGCCAAGGTGGTTCTGTGGGGCCCAATGCAGGCGCTTTTTGCGGAGTGTGGTGATTGTTCGCTGGCCATCAGTGGCTAATCCCTTCCACCATTTTCCACCTATTCAAAAGCAAGAACACGTCGTTTCGCCCCGCTCAATAAAAACTCCGGCCGTGTTGTTGCTAAAACAAATCGGAACACCCGCAAAGATGGGAACGTGTTGTTTGAGCAAGCTTCAACACCCACCAGTCGCGGAGGAAACGATTATAGAACGTATAGAACGTTATAGAATATGATATAAACTCATATCAATTGAACACAACTCGGTGGACATGGCTCGCATTAGCGCTGCGTGCTGTTTGGGGACCGGACAGCGCTGCGTGTGGATTTTCTGGCAAGCACGTCGCTGGCGAGCACAAAGGGTGGTGAATCCAGTTCTAGCGGCACCTTGTAGAAAGATCTCCCAAAATGACGTTGGAAGCATTTTAGCAGAAAGCAAAGGGAGCAATTTCCCTACAAGTCCAAAGACCCAGTAAAGCCTTGTTTTTTACATCCTTAAGTAGTGTTTCTGTATATGACCAACTCCCGTAAAATGAACGCATTGACTTGTAGGGTTGAAAAACACAGGGGAGGTGTCATGCATCTTTTAACTGAGTAGTTATTTGTATTTCAAAGTAGGTACTCGGGATTATTGATTGCAACACTAGATTTCATTCCATAAGGTGGTGCAGTGCGATTCTCGTTTAGATTCCTAAGGACAAACCCATAGATAATCAAGAATCAAGACGCTGTCGGGATGTTAGGCAATGGGTAAAAGTTCATCAGCAGACCGTGAGTGGGACAATCTCAGCGCGCGATTCATGTGAGGAGTATTGTTGTTTTTCTCATGGAAATGTGCCTGCAAGATGTTTTTCTCTGTCTCTTTTTTGCCACACTCTGGGCTCAGCACGTCAAGTATGAAATTGCACTCGTGAACCTTTTCAGTGCAAATCAAGATCACCAAAGCAACCATTCCCAGACACTCCATGTATGGTACAATTTACCTACATTGGGGTGGTTTGGGGGTCAATGTAGGCATATATTCTATATATATATGGACCAATATGGAGCGTTTGGGTTTGGTGTTTAACGGTCCATGCGGTGTTTCTGCCTGTTTCAACGGATCGCTGACGTCCATGCGACCGTGACATCGACATCGACCGGGACCGTTTTTTTGCGGTTCTCCAGGATTCCTGGAGTGCCTCGACCTTCGAGCTGCTTTTGCTTCCAGGCAATGGGCATGTGTCTGAAATCACCAGGATGTGTGTTTGAAACATTTGGAACCCGGTCTGCCAAGAAGAGCAAGTGGGTGAGCTGTGCTGGCAGTGGTACTAGGTTACCAGTTTTGACCTTGTTTTGACAGAACAAAAACACATTAAACACCAATATTTTCGGATTTTTCGGTGGTTGGTGGTCCAAAATAGAGGTCACTCAGGCTTCGTATAATATATGATACAGTTCATGTGTGGCTCTACGGCGGGCGTAGACCACTGGTGGCGTCTCTGGGCAGGATGGCTCTTGCTTCCGCTCATTGGCTTGGCCGTCACGCTCATGGTGCCTGTGGGCAAGGAGAGCTGCACAGAGTTCTCCTCACCGAGCTGCACAGACATGCCAAACGATGATGCGGAATCACATGATGCGGACTGGAGACCATGTGTGTGTGTGTGTGTCCACATGATGGCCTTCTCTGAATACAGTCAGGATGCATGCAGAAGTCCTGACTGGCGATGCCATTACATCATAAGCAGCTGCATTTGCAGCCCGAAGCGGTTCCAACAAGTGTATGCAATTCCAACCATTGCAGATGGGGAAATTCGACCACCTCAAGCGATTGAACTTGAGAAGGGGCAATTACTTAATACACCTTAATACTTCATATATCACGTCCTTGTTGTGTTGAACTTCCCACCAACTCAAGAAGCAACAGCGAGGAGGGTTCGTCCGTTACTTCAAAACGGCCTCGTTGCTTCAAACGTCCTCGCGAGGAGCTGAGCAGCATCCCGAACACCGCGACCTGGCCGGGAAGGGGAAGGCAATCGTCGGAAGGCCTTCGTGTTCTCCGATGATCGACCTGATCCCACCAGATCGCTGATCGACCGGGTTCGATCCGACCATGACCCTTTTTTTTGGAAAGTGATTTGGGCTCTTCACTTGCTAATCAGACCTATCCTCTCAATGTGCGCTTAGAGCTGCCTTTGATCTCACCTCTCGAGACCGTCTGTGTTGCCCCGTATGCTTCGATGTCTTTTTCCGACGGTCAAAAACTCTACCAGCGGGTTAAAGAATGCATTTGACAAAAGCAAGATCTTGTCACGATTTCGTTTTCTCTTTTTGAGATCCTGAATTGGGGAATTCGTAATTCACCCGTTTGTGTGACTGTGTTTTAGTCCGGTCACTCTTTTGGTGGTGCGCATGTTTGGTTACGTAGCTTTCTCTGTTACATACCTAACCTCGGGTACCCCACCTATGTGGAAGGACCCTGAGGTGCGATGACGGATCGATCGCGAGTTGGTTTCGAAAGTGATTTGGGCTTTTGAGGCTAAATGGAGGATTTGGGATCCTGGTTATGTTCCCTGGTGATTGGTAAGCAATCGGAGAGCACGATCTTCCTGATGGATTTCTTTCAGGTGGTTGGTGTTTTCCCCGTGGAAGAATCCCACTTCTGGGGAATCTGGTTTATGCGGTCCAAATTACATCGTGAGACTTACGGCCGAAGTAAACCTCTAGATAAAATTGCCGGGGTGCTTCCACGACCGCAGCCCGCACCCCAATTAGATACATTAATTACCTCTCACATACGTTGCTTTCGGTTTCACCCTCAATCCAAAAAAGGCTGTGGAACATTGGGGAGCATCACGGAAGCGATGGACGTATGGTATTGGTGCCCAATCCGGTGAATTCCGTAGAAAGAGACCTCGTGTGACATGAGCGGACGATAGACTTCTGCAGCGGACATGAGCGGACGAATGTCCGCGGAGCCATGTGGTGCCTCTCTCAGTCTCCAGAGAAAAGCAGCCCAAAGTCTATTTGAGGCGTTCAAAGGATTGGTACAAGTTTGTTCAGAAGGTCAAAGGATGTGGAGCCCGATTGGTCAAAGGATTGGTATAAGTGGTATTGATCCTTTCAATCTGTTCAGACACTTTCACGTGCACCGAATCGCTGAACGTGTCATGGTTGCTTCAGACACATTCAGACACACTTACGGTGCTGAATACGTCGAAACCGGGCAATACACCGGGTTGGAGGCCGGACAGGCGGCCCAACGGCTCAGGATGATGCCCAGGAGTGTCCTCGGAGCCCGGTGCGGGCCAAGCTTAGCGAGGTGGGGGGATCCCACGGAGGGTGGCGTGCTCATGGCCAAGGTGAGCAAAGAAGCTGAACCAGAGGAGAATCAACAGAAGATCAACATCATGGAGTAGACACAAGTATGCAAAGATAATAAATGATATAACAAGTTTGTTTCTTGATAATAATGTCATTGTTACTATTTCTAGTTTTATTAATAATATTCGATTGTCATATCTTAAGCATAGCTGGGCTGAGGATTACAGCCTAATGAGAAACACGTCGCCACCACAGTTCCAAAGACACAGGAACCAAGAGCATCTACTCACTGGCAATCAGCTTCACTAAGTTTACAAACTGTTGACTGTTCATATGTTATTGTATAATATTTCCTTGGACATCTAAGCTTCGCCACTGAGTCTGAAACGAGGTCAGCTCCAGCCCAGCAGGGTTCTTCCCAAGAAGAAAGCTCTCCGCTCGCCAGGCCTGGCTGGAGCAGCGGGTGTTCGGACGGCTGCAACGGCGCTTCGCCCGGGGCGCAGGGACGGAGAGCGGGTGGGGCGTAGTGGAGCGGAGTGGAGGGGCGGAGCACAACAGCAGGGCGCGTGGCGTGGCGACCAGACCTGACCTAATGATAAACTCCAACAAGGGAGCCTAGCACTTCAACTCCCTGGAAGACTCATGCAAGTGGAGTTCAGCACCTGTTGGTAGAGGATTTCATGGCCTTCCAAGGAGCCATGCCATCCACTTTCCATGAGGATTTGAGCGAGTGTAGACTCTTCTTGAATAGAACAATCACATTTGGGAGTTTAATCAACTTCCATTTGGTGGGGTTTTGTTCACTTACGAGTCACTTGATCTTGAGCTCGGCTTTGGCCCCCAAACGTTTGGTCATCTGTGGCCCGCGTACCATGTACGTCGGTTCGTGCCGGCGAGTTGAAGACGAGGTCGTCGCTTTGTCGGTGAACATCTTCTTCATTGCCACGCTGCTGGCCAACGGCATGAAGCTGGGCTTGAAACGGTAGGCCAGACGTGCCAGCGGCCACGACGTGCCAGCTCGGAAACTCCATGGGTGACATGGGAAGCTTCATTGGTTGGAGGAGTTACAACGTATGTAGTATAATGTAATATATATCTATATATAATACAACACGTGATTGAGTCATATTGATGTTTAATGAGTGATTTGAAGTTTGGAATCAATGAATCATCATCAACTACTTGTATATAAATATGTCATACATCCTTATGTATGTTCATGGCAGCTGTGCCATGAAAGCTAGGTTCTTCACATGTCCGTCATTCCTGTGGACGTCGACGTATTTTTGCTACTGAACCCTTCCTTGGCATCCCACAAAATGCTCGTTGAAGAGTCCGAGAGAGAACCCAAAGCTGTTTGCATTGATGGCTTCAAACTTTTCATACATCCAGCGCAACGAATCTCAGCTCATTCGACCAAGGACAGTGAGATACTTCAGTTTGTACTTCACGCAAGTTCTCAGGCCAGTTGAGATTGTGAACAGGGAGGTCCTTTATGTTGAAGATGTTGAAGCAGTCGCATTGGTTTGGGGTGAAAACAACGAAACCGGGTGCTTTGGACACGGTGCCGACCTGTGCCGACCGGTGCGGGAACGGAAGACGGCTCAAGGTTCCAGGACGTTCGTTGGGCTCCAGGTGATGTAAAAAAGAACGATAAGGCTATAAGTGGTTATACAAAATGTATATAGTATAAGTTGTTTTTCTTTTTTTAAATATATATCAGGTGGTGTGATGGAAAAGACCCAGATGGTGTGAGTGAAGCACAATGCATTTGGTTTCGAGTGTAGGTGGCAGAGTGTTTCGTTTCGCATGGGCCTGGTGGGTGTGAGGTGCTCACTGGTGCTCCCAAAACTCGCTTGGCAGGTTCTCTCCGGCTCAGCCCGGGTGCCGAAGCGGCGGTGGCGGTGGCGGGAAAGCGCCTTCCGATGGATTTTTGGTGTTTCAATTCGATTAGATTACCAACCAGACGTGTCTGGCCACCCCATGCGCCATGAAGGTCATTGCAAGCTTGGGTGTTGACCCTTGTGTACAGGTGTTTCAACCAGCTCAAAAAAACATCAGTTGTCCCAACCCTGATCTGCTGTGCCGGCTGTGGTTCTTGTGGGTACTTGAGGTACCCGGAACTGCTTAGACTGTGACAAACTGACTGGAAATGATGAATTTTCAAGACCTAAGACTGGCTTTGGGAAGGGGCTTTGCTTTGTCAACATCAAACCACTGTGGAGCGAGGGAGCGACACACCGACAAGGAGATGAAACCCACATAGACAAGGGGCTGATGGGTTTGAACGTGACTTTATAGACTATGACCAGTATGACCATGTGTACCAGAGGTTGCCCGAGTTTCCTAGGGGAACTGTTTGGAAACATCTGCATGGATGGTGACACCTTTCGCACCAAGTTATGGATGGAATCTCTATCATTACCCTAGTTCCAGATCCTCGTACACTTGGTGAGGCCTTGTGAAAGTTGTCCAGAGAGTTATATAATCGAACAACAGGAGGTATCTCCAGAGCTGGCATTTCAGCATCCACTTTCTCAGTTTATCAATGGGTTGTGATGAGGCACGAGGTAGAACCTTGCACCACCTGCAACATGTACAGTAAAGTGTAACATTTTTTACCACACTACTGGGGGGCGGTAAAGCTGCTGGCTGACAGATCTATTGCAAGTATTAATTAAATGTTCTTCCGTGAAATGCCAAGATCTGTGGATTCTCAACTACCATCATGAAACATCATGTTTCCTTGTATAAACGGTGACGATTGGACAATATTCAAGAGAAGGATAGTGAGGCCATGTGAAGCCGGCATTATATCGAACACGTAGTACGAGCACTTTGAAGTTTGAAGATTTCTGGGTTCCCTTATATACGTTCGCACGGTGGAGGCCATCGCTATTACTGTAAGTTGGAGGCCATCGCATTGGTCTTAATATGTCTTAATGATTTCTGCATCATGTCGTTCTCTATTGCGAGATCACGTCGTGCTCGCTAGCGATCGCCCCTCCACCTTTGCGCCCCTCGGTCCGTTCTCGCTGAAACACTCTGCTCCTAGGCTTTGCATCCTCAATGCCGTGTGCAGGTGCGCCGGCGAAGCACTGCAAAAAAATGAAGAATACATCGAAGTAAAGCAGTGGATGGCACTGACCATCCAAGTTCCAGCGGTGACGATCTCCAAGTTCCCAAAACGTTTCCATAGATCGTGGCAAAGTTACATTTTCTGCGTGACTTCGCATTGTTTTTGCGCCACCCATCTTAAAGAAAAAAGGATACGTGGAACAGAAGCGGGTTCGCTGCTTCTGCTGCTGCTGCTGCTGCCGCTGCTGCTCTGATTTCATCCACATTGTTCAATGCTTCCATGACCAACACGGGGAACGTCAAGAAACTCAGCACTTGAGACTAGGGAGGTTGCATCATGTTGCATCATCTCAGAGATGATCATTCCCAAAAAATATAAAACCGTTTTTTGCGCCAGGTGGCGCAATATCTCTTCCATCATAGTATTTGAATAGGCCAGAGTCCAAAATGACCTGTTGAACAAGATCCTGCACCAATTGGCTCGTGAACCCCAATCCACATCAATCCACTATCACTACACATTATATAATTATATATATATATATATGGACAAGGGTTGCAAGTGGTGCAGGATGGACTGTTCATCAAGTTTATATGCCTCAGATATGTTCTGCTACCCAAACTCCCTCATCAATGCCCCAAATTCGCAGGTCCCTGGGCCTGGGGTTTGTTTTGAGCGTCACTTGTGCGCACGCTAGGCTCTTTATCGCCGCTTTTGCGCAGCTGGGAAAACCACTGTCAGGACTGACAGAAAAACTGGACAGGAGCAGTCGGGAAGTCCTTATAGATCCAATTTCTTGAATTTTTCCACTTTGTCTTTGTTTTGCTTGGATCTATCCCACATCCTCTAGACTCTAGATGGGGAAGTACCAAACTTGTGAGAGTGGAATCTTTGAGCCTTAACATCTAACTTCGGGCGAAAAAAACATCGATGACCTTCTACCACCAGTGGTCTTTGGTTGGCATCTACCACCAGTCTATCTGGCCAGCTTTGCTGCTGGCCTTGGCAATGGACCGGGCCATCCCAGGGCCATCCCAGCGCCATCCCCATCTCCCCGCAGTACTACTGGGCCGCTCCAATATGGCTTTGCTGATGCATGTAGGCGAGCGGCGCGATGCGGCGCGTGACGTGAAACGATCTGAAACCCAGGTCAAGTAGCCACCAAGGTCGGGATTGAAGCATGTCCTGGGTTAGGGTTTGGCTGGAATTTGAGAAAGCTGGGTGCTTGTAAGAATAATCAGTATTTGGGATGTTGAGCATTTGCGACATTCAGCATTTGGATGAAGATCCGATCCATTGCGCTTCCATGTCTTGTTCACCTTCGGCTCAGCCCCCTGGAAGTAGGCGCACACCATACGTTTGTTTGGCAGCATTCTTCATGATCAGGATAGATATTCTAATTGATCTATATAGATCAGTTAGATTATATAATGTGCCATAGAGTGCAAATAAACTTAACATCATTGTCCTTGTCCAAAACAACAGGTCCCAGATTTGATAGAAATCAGGACACAGTAGAAGGAACTTGACATGAACAAAGATATTGAAAGTACTATCCAACAGTTCTTCTTGTTCAAGTGCCCAAAGAAACTCTTCTCACATTGTCCCGTGTTTCCAACATCAAGCTGCTGTCATCATGCTTCGATCCATCCCATATATCCTTTGGACCCCTTCCTAGAACCGGTAATTTACAGGAAACTCTCTTCTTCCAATATTACATGCTTTCATATTGACTGAAGTTACTTTGAAGAAGCGAATCGGGCTCAATGTGCCGAGTCTTCGTCTTAGCCACAAGCGAACTCATAAAGACCGCAGACAGCACAGGGAACAGCACCAGGGTGAACCCGCAGATTGCGGAGAATCGGATCCCTGCTTAGACGACAGGATCGGCTGTGGCCACCTTGGGCATCTATGGCGGAGGCTTCTTCACTCCGTCACTGCGGCTTGGGCGGCAGAGGAACTGGGTGGGCTGCGCTGTCTTGGGTGTAATGGAGAGAGAGAGAGAGAAGGGGGGGGAAGTAATGGGGAACTGGGAGGTCACAGGGAACTTCAGATCGCAGGTGATCGAAGCAGTATCACCATGTATCACCACAGTGTTTTGAGTGTTGACAAAGGGTTTTTCCTCACGACAAGGCGTGGATGACGCAATTTGGCGATGCTCCACCGCCCCCCCCCACAATGCCAAACATGCAACGTGCCTGGAGTTCGAAACCTGGAGTCGGAGGGACAATACCCAGACACCCTAAGGTATGACCTCTGAACCCACCCCAATGTATGTATAGTGAATATGACATGGAGTGGTTGGGATAGACTCAAGATCATCGCTGCTGTGACATCTTGCGACCACGAAAGAACACGAGAATGTGTTTGAGCACTCCACAATTCACGGCATTGCCCCAAAAAGTCGCAGCCAACGAGCGCATGATTTCCACGATGCCGAGGCTGGTGGCTTGTGCGTGCTACTTGCTTCGCTTCGCCTGCTTCTGGGCTTCGGTGATTTTGTGGTGTTTGGGCTGGGGCCTGCGGCGGGGCCGTTTTGGGCTGTTCTCGTTGGGGTGTTTGGATGGACTGGCAAAGGGCCACTAGGAGAAAACAACAGTTCTATTGGGGGCCCTTCTTCGATTGGGTTGTTCCAGTTGTTCCAAGAATAATGTCCCAGATGCCCCAGAAGTGGATCAATGATGGACGTCTCCCTTCCCGGAGAGGAGCAGAGAACAGTGTGCCGATCTTTGTGACTGCAAAAGCAACATTTGAAGCTCAGTGTCAATGTTTTCTTGCCGGGTTAGACAGAGTGTATCTCTGCCAACGTCCAGTCATTTTGTCACGTGATTAGTGATCACTGGGCGATCGGCTCTCTATGGTCATATCACCCAAAGATGGGCCAAGACATGAGTGGTCAAAACGACAACACTCCCAATAAAGCTGGAAGTGAGAGCAGACAGAAATTGTGACAAAAAAAGAGCAACAAGATCACCCTGGTGGGCAGATTGTTGACACTCAGCTATTGTATTAAGTCCTTGCGGAGGTTGTATCATAGCTTCCTGACTGGGTATACTTAGCCTGTGCAATTACACTGCTACTGATGCTTCAACCCCCCCACATGAACCATTTGGATGAAAGCAAGAACACGAGGATCTACATGGAGACAGTTCTCCTTTTTATTGATCTGACTGGGGCAGCTCCTCGGCATTTTTTTGTTCCAAGGTCTTCATGCCAGAGATCCAGTGTTGTACTCGATCACCATGGACTGTGTCCCGCAGAGCCAGCGGGGGTGCCCAAGAATGTGCGAGATCGCGCATGATCGCGCTTTCCAAAGGGGCAGTGACTACCGGATGATTCACCACTATCCCATCCAAAAAATAGTAAATTTCTGGTTATATAGATATTTGCGATGTTTGTGCGGTTGCATGTTGGAAAGTCTTGGCCACCCTGAGCAATTCTCCAAAAGGCAACCGGCACAACTAAGAACACCAACATAAGAAGGCACAAGACACTCTAGTCTATAGGAGTTCTATGTTGGGGTGGTTGGTGTTCCATCCAGTTGGTGGATAATTAAACTTTCGTTTAGGTGGGGATTGGTTCCTGCAAAAAGAAGAGTTGAACAAAATAGTGGGAAAAGGTCAACTCCAGTCAGCTGTCTTCGTCCATTGTGAGTCCACCGTGCGCCGCCGGAACGCCGGGACGTGCCTTTGCTCCGGCCGCCCAGGCGCAGCCGATGGGCCGCCTTGAACTCGTCCTGGGCTCGACGAGTGCGGCAGGTTTGAACTGTGTGAACAGGGCAGGCTCATGCAGGTTTGAGGTGGAAAGGCTTTGCCAGAGATGTTCAGAGTTCAGTGGGTTGGTTCAACAGGGGGCCAATGGCAAGCGATTGAATTCACAATTGGAATCCTCCACCTGCATGGAAGCTTTTTGGGTGGTGACTCATTCAAGCAAAAAGACCATAATTGCTCCAAAAGGTTCAAAGATGTCTAGTCTACACCCAGCAAATAATACATCATGATATCACAATACTATACAGATCCAGTCCCTTCATCACTCGCTCCACATCCAGCTCCCGGCTATTTAAGTAACACGTCTCTCCGCCTCGCCGCGCCTGGCCGCTCTCGGTCGAGCGCAAGCGAGGCTGCGGACCTTGTCGTTCAGCGCGTCAGCCGTGCTGGGCGGCTTTTTGGCCGTCCGGGGAACCTGGGAGACGGTCCGAGAGAAAGCGCACGGAGAGAAATCGGGCGGGTGGAGGAGTGTAAGAATGAGCAACGAAGTTTGGGGGGGAGGGGATTTTGTGGAGTGAATGTTCTGTTGCTGAAGTTTAGGGCGATCATTGCTGTACATGGTTGAACTTAGTGATGTAAACCTGCTGGGAGGTTGGGGCTCGACAGATGGATTGGATGCTTTGGAGGCAGCCTGTAAGAAATCAGCAGCAGTTCTGGATGTGGTCACGAGTCAGTATGTTCTGCGATGGTATGAGTGTGTTTCAAACATCTGAGGGCCCTTATTAATTTATTGTTGTCCCTACCCATTCCTGACACTCTATTGCCATCACATATAAATGCCTAGAACTGATCATCCTGATCCCTGAAACCTGAAAGCACCTTGTAATCAAACTTGAATTGATGTTCTTTGAAAGGCGCAGTGATCCCAGGGCCCAATGTACCTGCGCCTTCAAACTCAAGGCTTCATTGGGCCCAACAGAGTCACAGATCTCCCTGACCTCAAAACATAAGGTAGACACCAGGTCACTTGTACCTGCACCAGGTAGACAAGGGCACAAGGGCATGATAGCCAACACTATTGACTCATGGGACTCATGAGACTCCAAGGACCGACATGGCTATGAGCTGGCGACTCAGTGAACGACTTCCGATCTCGAGCGGTCGGTGCCAACGGTCGGTGGAGCAGGGGCGCTGGTGCAGATACCGGGCCGACTTCAGAGTGAAAGGAGGAGATGCAGTTTTGAATGCAGAGGTTCAGATGGAATATGTCATAAGTCATAACAATATACATGAAACAACACAAGATAATAAGATACATCAAGATACTATACACGCCTTGACGCAGGTCTCCTCCAGAGGGTACTTGGGTTGCTAAGAGGTGGTCTATAGGTCTTTGTTGGTGACCAGTTGGAGGTTATTTGATGTGGTCTTGTGCCTGCACTTTGATTCCTGCACTTTCTGCCGCCGGCCCTAGGACACCGCAGGTTTGGGTTCCAGGACTGTCCACGTCAGACATTCATCATCGTTGCCGTCAGGTTCTCGTTCAGCGTGACCATCGTCTCATTGCTGGTCACGAACCCAGCTTGAGGCGTTGTCAGGTTTTGCTAGTTCTAGTGTTGTTTGCTGTAGCATTTAGGGCCGGATGGAATGAGACAACTCCTTGAATTGTTAAGCATACGACATTCAATCTTTGCGTCCGTTCATGTCAGATGCGCGATGAATATGATGAATTGATCTACAGGCCCACTTGGTTTACTTTGCACAACTTCTAAATGCAGCAGTGGGACTATCCTGCACCATGTACTGCAAACTTAACCGATCTCTCAGACACTCTCAAGGCCTGCACGGTGTTCATGCTGCCGGCCCTGCTGTGGTTTCCAAGAAAGGAGAAGACCTGGGAGCGTAGAAACATGTATCAACAAACATGGAAGTGGACAACCCCCTCTCAGTAGAATAAAACTGTTTTCCTACGGGTCATTGTCCACTTCCATGATTGTTGGAGGGGGAGTAGGACAAAGAATCAGTTGTGCCGCTTCGGGCACTTTGCAGCTTGCGTGGCAGCTTGCATGCATTGGCTGCGTAATGCTTCGTAGGTAGCGTTGGTAGACACAGAGCCATCTCGCAGAATTGATTTAGCCACTTGTGGCCTTTGTGGCTTCTCATGGACGTGGTTGGCTAGATGGGCCTGGGGTAATAAGGACCTCTCTGGAGGAACCACAGTTGAGGAATCATCCATAGTGCTTTAGGGTCCACATGACCTGTTTCCTTCATGCAAGAGTTAGCAAGAGTTGGAGAAGATTGGGATTTGTCAGCTTGTGGGTGCGACCCAATCACAGACTGGAGGACCATCCTTTTTGAATCCTGCTACCAACCGGGTCGGCGCAGGAAGGAGTTGGCAGCGACCAGGTGCAGGCTGGGTCGGCCATTTTTTGTTCTTTTCCGTTTGTATTGGTTTGTTCACTCCCCATGCGAATCCATTCGGTGATCTCCTATGGGAGCAAACCTCAACTAAAGCATGTTGTTCAATGATAAATGTTTTGAGCGTTCCCAAGATCAGCATGCGGGCACTTCCATCCGTGAATATAGTTGGCAACTTGAAAGGGTCGGATTCTAAAGTGATGCTTTTCAAGTCAAAAAAATAATGCGCGTTATGAATAGAAAACCCACCGAGTGACCCTAGTGGGTGAGCTAGTCTAAATAGTTTGCCCTTCCCCCCATTTTCATACGCACCGAAGCTGTGGCTGTGGCCTGTTTACCAAATTGCAGCTGGGAGTTTCCAGTCGTTCAGTTTTCTCTGCACGGTTGGCGCAGGCTGATGCTTTGATTCCGCCTGTGGCCAGCCAGACGGACCTAGCAGAGGTCCAAACAGTGCCTGTGCGGCAAAGCTTGTTGGGGTTGAGGGATGGAACCACCCTCAACGCCATGGACCAGAGGATTTGTTCACCCTGTTACCAATATGGCAATGGAGCACACTCACAACGAGAATGGAGCTGGTGTTGATACCTTTCGCATGTTGCTCCAGATGTTGGTTGGGTAGAAGACCTCTCAAGTTTTGAAGCATTTCGCAGAACATTTTGGCTCTCTTTCCTGCGTGAGTCCTGCTGGGCTGCTTTTCGTGAACCTTGGGTTTTTGAACTTGGGAGGGACACGTCCAGTATCTTTGGGTGGTTGCAGGTTGTTGGTCTAAAGAATTCTCCGCATAGCTCCCTACTGGGCGTTTACGATGTCACAAAGGGATACAGTAACAGCAGAGCGCTCGAGCGCATGTTTCAGGGATCTTTGCCACAGCCTTCCCTTTCGAACGACTCGGCGACCGTGGGCACCAAGGCCCCCTCTCGGCCGCTTTGAGATGCCGTGATCGGGTGCTAAAGCCAAAACCGTGGAAGCTGGGTAGGTGGTTTGGAAGGTTAGAATGAGTCAATGTGATGTTGGATCTTTATGGATCTTATGCAAACTATGAAAACTCGTTGCTTGGAAACAGCCAAACTTTGCACCCAAAGATCCCAGTGGGCCAAAGGACTCAAATCAAATTCTTCATCATAGGAAACCACTTGCGCTGGCTCCGTGTGTTTGGTTTGCGCCACCCCGGAAGCAGATGGTTTGGTCAGCCCGGGGTTGGTGAGTTAGCAGTTAGCCGACAAAAAGCGAACGACAGTAAAGCAGCTGCAGGGCTCTCAGCAATGGGGAGTTTCCCATGATCTTCAATAGACATAATGTCAACACCAGATTAATCACCCCCCTCAAGGTCAACAAGGTTTGAGATTGGAGGGATTGGCGACCACATCCCCTTAACAAAGGTGAGGATGATGAGATGATGACCTGGACCTGATGATGGATGATGGATAATAAATAGCTATAACAATTATATACTGTATATTTTGTTTTCTGGGGGAGCTGGGCTTGATTAATGAGGGGAGATTACTTAATCCTGTGTCAACATTATGGACATCTCATGATGGTGAGATCTACTGTAAATTGTGTATTGGATTCCGTCCTTGTTTGTTAGCAGCAAATGCTGGGGTCGGATGGGGGCCAGAATTTGTCTCCTTTCGACGCAATTCACACTGGGAGTTGATTGGGTGTGTGAACTTACTAAGCAGCAAACTGTTGCAGGTGGAGGCGGCACTTACTTTGATCTTCACAGAGTGTTTGTATTCCGAACATCAGAGTGGATCCTTTTTCTCAACACCTCATGGAACACCAGTTGTGGGGGCGATCTTAGGCACGAGGGGTTTCGGACGTATGGCTCCAAGGGTGGCGACGTATGGCAACGGGCATCAGTTCATCTAAGAGCGTTCATGAAAAAGAACGCGAGAGACACATTCATGATCCGCCAGTCTTGATTTACAGCATCTCCTTACACACGCAGCTGTTGCAAAAGACCACGTCTAGTGACTTCACGGCTTTCTCACCCCAAGCCGGACAGCTATCGCGTTCCACACAGCATGGGTTGTTGGTTGCCTTGGCGAATCTCTTCCACCGGTGGCCGGATCCGGCCGTTTGGCTCATGTGACACGAGACATGGGGAGACCCGAGCAGCGCCATATGATCTTCCATGTAAAGGATTTAGATGGATTTAGTAGGAGGACTATATAATCGAAGGTTGCAACATGGGTTTTTGGCATGGCTCAATTCATCCGTCGCTGACCGGCGCCGTTGTTTGGAGAAAACAGAACAGTTACCATAATAGTTGTTTCGATAGGGTGTTCCTGTCGGAATGCCTCGTTCAATCAAGTCAGCGGAAGCCAACTTCCAACAACTCAGGGAAAGATGTGTTGATGCGCACTATGGCTGCTGAACAGCCTGAGTTTCAATTTCAAATGCACACGTTGCGCATTGTTGCGCCACAACATTATATAATATAAGTGCGATTGGTTTCTTAAAGCCAGCATGCAAGGCATATCATATAATATAGAGATAGACACATAGCAAATAGACACATTTGGCGGCCACATCTGTGTGATGACCTATGGTTGCCAGCCATGCAGGTGGGATTCAGCAAGGACACTTTTTGTGGTTTGCTCATGGTTGAGTCAAGTGACACGTGTGCTGAGCCCGGCAACCTCAAGGGCAATGCCATTGTGTTCTTTGAGTAGGTTCTCAAACATATATCACTTATGATTCGAGTTATAAATATAGTTTAGAATTAATGAGATTCCTTTCACACGGATTCGCCGCTGCCCCCACCCCCGAAGCGACAGTAACTGACGCCGTCCTCAAGAAGCCCAAAAGCGCCGAAGAGTTGGATCGTTGGATCGGCTCCAACGGTCAAACGTCAATCGCAGATCAAGGGAAGATGGAAAACCATTGAGCAAGTCTCGCCTGGTGTGTAAGTGTCACACGTCATGAGACACTTCTTACTACAGTATCTTCTTACCACCTTGACATACGAACACATTGTACTTGTGAGAAACGCAGGCTTGAATATTACTTTTGAAACGCATTTTGACTTCATCATGTGCCTGGTAAACCGCTCCTCACCGTTCAGCTCGCTTGACCTGGGCGGAGCTCGGAGATCGAGCTCGGATCCGGGCGGATTCTGGGCGCCAGGTGTGGGATTGGGAGATCTCCACCAGCGTGTGGCCACAGGCGAGGGTTTTTCCCGGACAGGTCAGTTGGACCTCATGGTGCTGGAGTTGATCATAGAAAAAGAACATGAAGAAACAATCAAAAACAACATGGTTCAAGGAGGTAAAGGACCAGATATGACATGGTTTTCACACACATTTTTTACATGTCTTTACTGCGTCTTTGGACCTGTAGGGCTTTGTTTGAGCGAACCTCGCTTCGTCGCTCGGATCGGACGTCCATCGGATCGGTCTCCAGGCGTCAGGGCTGGACCGTCGCGAGCTGGGATGTGCGGGGAAGTCCCAGGTCGATCAGTGGATGATCAGTTAACTCATGTTAACTCTATGCAGTGGGAACTCCCAGTTCTATCAGTTCTATCACTCTACACCTGTGACAATTGACATGGAACCTGAAAATGGACCTTTGGAAAATTATTTTGCTCTACAACCCAGTGGGTGTCAGGTTCCATGTTATTTTTTCCCAGGTGTACTATGTAATTAGTTACTACCACTGGTTTGGTCGAGCCATGACGGCTTTGGGGTGGAGAACTCCGGTCGGATTCGGCGGAGGAGATGTCCGGAGACGTCCGGAGACGCCAAGTCGTTGACTCATGGTTGACCTATTCATGGTCTGATGCAGAGACACGTGGTTCTATAACCCCCAAAAGGATGCACACATGCATTCAACTTTGCAGCTTGATTGCTACGACTACAAGATCCATTTAGATCCATCATAATTAAGTGTTCATTTAGCTTGTTGGTTGTTTGATACTGTCAATGTTTGTGTGCCACTTTTTTCCATATGTTTCAGTGGAATGATGCACCCTTATGGCCTCCATGGCAGGGCCGGAGGCCATCCAACAAGGCAGGAAGAAAGACCCTCGGCTGGGTTCTGCGGTTTGCGGGGTTTTGCGTTGCTCAGGCCGAGAAATACCAGAAGCAGGCGCGAAGACATGGGAACCCCAAACGACCGTCTCGACCACCGGGTAGCTCAAATGACGAGACCGACACCCGTGGGAAGCTCAAACGTCCAACCAGGTCAGCCCGGGCGCGAGAGAAATGGTGTGGCACTGAACGGGAGAGAGATACGAGTTCCATACAAACAAAGACGCCAAAGGAGCCACAAAATCCGATAGCGGATGAGAATGGATGAGAGTGCGTTAATTTCGACAATTTAACTTTGATGTGTCTTGTGGCGTACTTGCCAGAGCTTGGATAAATTCGAGTGAATCTGCAAAAACAAGAATTGGAATGCTCTGCCCAACCTCAAGGTCCATGAATTTCAATCTTGACTATGTGCTCTTAAAATGCTGTTCAGGGCTTATGATGAAATTCACAGGTGCCTGATTTGATCTGATTTGGCTTGGGCAAAACATGTTATAGAGGTCACTGTCCGGACACTGATTTCGGATTTTACTTTTTGTTCCTCTAAAGACCCACCCTATATAGCACCTCTTCCTTGAGTACCTTATAGCCTTGCATGTTCTAGACATGTTATATGATTTTGTAGAAGCCCCGGGTTTTATATATCTATGCCTAAGGCCTCGTCCTGGGGAATTCAATAGGGGGTTCCACTAATTATATATAGTAATATAGTCAAGGAGAGTGTCGGACACTCACACTTTCGCCAAGGTCAGATGCTTGTAGGGTAGCTTCTCTTTCTGTTGGTTGGTTGCCTAAAAACGACGTTCCTTGTTCAAGTTCAAGCCTATGTATGTGGTATTTTGTTGCTTTCTCAGGGTGTCATATCCCCACTTCGTGAAGACTGTCAAATCAACAGCGAATTCTTGTCCGATAAAGTCGAGTTCCGCAACTGCGCAGGATTCCGCAACTAGCTATTGGTCGGATTCCGCAACTGGGATTCCGCAACTAGGATTCCGAAACTAGGATTCCGCAACTGGGATTCCGCAACTAGGTTTCCGCAACTAGAATTCCGCAACTAATTAGAATTCCGAGACTAGGATTCCGCAACTGTCAGGATTCCGCAACTAAGATTCTGCAGCTGGGATTCCGCAACTGGCGTTCCGCAACTAGATTTCCGCAAAATTGTGGATTCCATCACTAGGACTCCGCAACTTTTGTGAATGATGAGGGCGTTGGCGTGATGTCGAGATCGCACGATGGGGACAAGGGGGGGTGGGGGGGTTGGGTGGGGGTCTAATGATGTTGGTTTGGATGTGCTTCGAAGATAAAGTCACAGGCACACGCTATCGCATGATGTGGAGATCACCAGTTGCAGAATACCAGTTTCAGAATGCCAGTTGCAGAATCTGACTTTCCAGTTTCAGAATCCCAGTTTCAGAATACTAGTTGCAGAATCTGACTTTCCGGTCTCAGAATACAAGTTGCAGAATCCCAGTTTCAGAATCCTAGTTTCAGAACCCCAGTTTCAGAATCCTAGTTTCAGAACACCAGTTTCAGAATATCAGTTTCAGAATCCAAGTTTCAGAACCCTAGTTTCAGAACCCCAGTTTCAGAACCCTAGTTTCAGAATCCGGCTGATTAGTTTCCGAATCCGGCTCTAACCAATTCTTGTCACACCTTTATAAACATCCTCAACCTGGGGCTTTCGACGGTGAAGCTGGGCATAAAAACTGTACGGTCAGGTTGGTTTGAGTGCAACATCCTTTGTAGGGTCGTTCGCTGCAAACGAAGCGCCTCGCTCCCATCTGGGATCTCCGAGGTCTCCGCTGCACAGCACCTGGAGGAAGGACGCTTCGAGGCTGGTAGAAGCAAGAGTCTCCAGCATTTGGGGAGGGTCAAAGATAATGTCTATTTTTA